GACCTATTGGTGTTTCAGAAAAAGCCTCGCGGTGTGAGCATCAGCACCGGGGCCCGCAGCCAGGTGACCCTGCCATGATCCCCAGGTTCATGTGTGGCTGTGGTGCTTGGCTGTTCTCATTCACTTGGTGACATTTGTGGAAGGCACAGTCGTTTCTCCCACGGCCAGCCTGGGGCTCTGGGGGCTGAGGGAGCCTTGGCCTGGCTCCCTGCTCCTGACCCCCAAAGGCCCATGCCCCAAAGGGCTTGCATAGAGCTGCTTCTCTCCTGCGTGCTGCAGGGCCTCCTGGCACGCAGCTTCCACTCTGTGGATGTCCAGCCCGCCCAGCTCTGGGGTCCACTGAGAACGCAGGCTCCTTCTCTGCCTGCCAGCCCCTCCCGAGGTGCACATGGCAGGAGGCTGCAGGCACCACCAGGGACTATATGGCCACCACCACCCCGCCCCTACCCCCCAGACAGGCAGGTCCAAGTCCCCAGGATTCTCCTGGGGCCCAGCCCAGGCAGCCTCCTGTCCCTGCCCCTGCCCCTGGCAGTGTAAGTGCCAGGCATGCGAGGCGGCCAGGAATGGAGGGGTGGGCCCCTGCCTCTGCCCATCCCTCCTCTCCTCTGCACCAAAACTCCAGCTGGTCAGCATCACCAGCCTGCAGAGAAGTGTGCCCCTGGGTGGAGTCCAAGCGCCCTCTGGTGGTCGTGGTGGGGCAGCGCAGGCACACCCTGGATGGGGACCTGGGCCAATGCATGGGGAAGGCCCTGCCATCAGCTGGGGGCTGATCCAAATAAACATCAGAAGTGCCTCCAAGGAAGGGTCGTCCCACAGGTGGCATGTGGAGACCTGACGGGTACAGTTAGTGCGGCAGTGCCGCCCTCCTGTGTCCCCGCCCCGGCACCTGGCCTGGCTCCCTGTGGAGAGGGGTCACTTAATTCTCAGATGCCAGGGGTCAGAAAGGAAAACTAAAAGCTGCTGCGCTGGGGAAACCGAGCCTTTAGGGCAGTGGTTCTCAACCTTCCTGATGCCGCGACCCTTTAACACAGTTCCTCATGTTGTGGGGACCCCCAACCATAAAATTATTTTCGTTGCTACTTCATAACTGCAATGTTGCTACTGTTATGAATCGTCATGTAAATATCTGATATGCAGGATGTATTTTCATTGTTACAAATTGAACATAATTAAAGCATAGTGATTAATCACAAAAACAATATGTAATTATATATGTGTTTTCCGATGGTCTTAGGCGACTCCTGTGAAAGGGTCGTTCGACCCCCAAAGGGGTCGCGACCCACAGGTTGAGAACCGCTGGGAAACGAGGAGGTTGAGCTCATGAGCGGCTGGAACGCTGAGGGTCCCAGGGCTCAGGCCCAGCAGAGGGCGGCCCATGGGGCCCTGTGACCCTGAGCAGCCGGCCTATTCATCTCTCCCAGGTTCTGCAATTTCATGTAAACAAGCCACGCACCCCTCCTGGACCCAACGCTGCCAGGTCCTGAGCAGCCAGGTGGCCGCACCTGAGCTGATTATAGGCGGCTCCGTGTCGGCCCTGAAATCTAGGGCTTTGGTCAGAAATGAGCTTTTTCGGGTCAGAGACACGAGTTTAAAAGGCTGTCGTCTGCCTGAGCGCCCGGCGGAGGGAGCAACCTCTGCTGCCGGGCAAATCGGGGGCTGCGCAGTGGACCCCTGACCGCGGCCTGGCACCCACTGGCACACTCGGCAGGGTGCCTGCTCTCTCAAAGGCCCCAGCTCTCAGGGCTGGGAGCTTCCCTGGCTGGCCTGTGACACCCCCCCCCCCCCCCCCCGCATTCACCAGGACATCTGGCTCAGTGTGTGTCCGTGTCTGCGGGCCAGACCTGTGGATGCAGGCATGTGACCGGGTGGCGGCTCTCCTGAATGCACGGTGTCGTGAGGCCGGCCATACGCTGACTTGGAGTGGGGTCCAGACCACGCCATCAAGGACACCCAGACCCGGTGACGAGAGCGGCAGCTGCCACAAAAGAGCCAGCTGGGCTGTAACTGCTGTGCCCCAGGGTAGACCACACACAGCACCTCCAATGCCACATCTTCTCTGAGGATATGAAGGACTGGGGCAAGGCAGGGGGCCCTGGGGCACTGGAGGGGAGGCAGTGATGGTGACACCCGGGCAAGGGATCGAGTGAGAGGGGTACACATCCCGGTGGGAGCGGCGGAGGGGCCTGGGGAAAGCACTGGGCTGTTAGTGGTGAGTGTCTGGTTTGGGTCCATAGGTCTCCGTTAGCCACCCCCAGGCCTGTTTCGGGCACCAAGGAAAACCCTAAGGGATTCCCGCTCTTCCCGCCAGTTTCTTCACACCAAGTGGAAAAGCCATGTTGCTGCACCTGAGACAAGTAGAGGGGAGCCCTCCTCCTCGGGTCCCTCTTCCTCGCCTTCCCGCCCTCATCATCTGTGAGTGACAGCGATTCTGAATCGGGTCTGAGGTTCTCGCTGCGCAAGTTAAACTGGAAGAAAGAAAAGCATTTTCCAAGCTCTCCCGGCCCAGGGCAGGAGCCAGGGGCAAGTCTTCCCCTGTGGGACTCACGGTCCATGGTGTTTGTCAACTCACCCGGGCGGAGGGCAGGGGGCGACCAGACCTCACACGGCCGCGCCCCCAGGGTCCCTGAAGGCAGCTGAGAGCACCAGCCAAGTTCTCAGAATGAACACGGCCATGTTCGGAGTTGGCCTCGACTGGGAAGTGGGGTCACACGGAGTGGAAATGAATTTGACCTTTGCTCACAATTGGACGTAAGTTATCCTGGCCTGGGGGTTTCACTGATTCATCGACTTGGCAATCCCACTTTCTTAGAGTGGACACCAAGGACCTGGCCACCGACTGGTGCTTTCCAGTGGTTTCTACAATGGCCTAAACCTGGGCAGTGACCTCCGCATCCACCGCTAAGGAATTAGCTAAACAATTACCTACTGTGTGTTGTCCAACAGACACCACTCTGCTATGTAAGACGACTCAAAATAGTCAGCGTCGTGAGAAACTACTCACAACATACTATTACACAGGCGAAAGCTGTTTCCAAAACATTACATGCAGTGGGCTCCCATTTGTGTGCAAGTGTGCACACACATGTGTATGCAGGTATGTTTGTGTGCTGTGTGCGTGTGTACATGTGTGTTTGTGTGTGTTCGCATACATGTGTGTATACATATGCACATGCATTCTTAGAAAAAATTGGGCAGGTTACACACTGACATCTTCCCAGTGACTCTAGTAGAGTGTCAGCAAAAATAAAACATCTTAACCTGAAAAGGTTTAAGAAGTGTTTTGTGTTGTTTTGTGTCCCCCTCCAAGCGTGTCCTAATGGCCTCGGTCACAGTAAGTCTGGGACAGCCACCGAGACGCTGATGACCTGCGGGCGTGCGGGCCCTGCCGTGACTGCCACTTCTAGAACCTGCTGTGGGCTGTTCAAAAGAGCGTCTCCACCCCCCGGGGGAGCCTTCCGAGAGGGGCCTGGCAGGTCGGGGTGAAACAGTGAAACGGATGGCAGGGTGTCCACCAACTGATAAGACTCGCTTTTCCAGACTCAAGGCATCCCCCAAATATTCTCATTGTTGGGGCGACTCCCGGGCTGAGCTGAGGAGCCAGGCTCTGGTCTCAGATCTGCACGAAGGCAGCAGCGTTCTGACTGGGCCGCGCCCGCTCCTCAGGCCCAGGCCCCCACGTGTGATAGGAGGGGTCGGTCCCCAAACCGAGGTCGGCCCAGCTCTGACATTCCTAGCTTGTCTGACCAGGTGCCTGGCGCTGGGACTGGCTGGGTCTGTCCTGGCTGTCGCTGTGGGAATGCCACGTGGGGGTCTCTCTGTGAAGAGTGAGCTGGTGGAGGAGCGAGTGAAGTGACTGAGTGACAGCACGGGCACTGCCAGGGTGCCACTGCTGGGCCCACAGGCCTAGCCCAGGGGAGCCGTGTCCCTGTCGTTGGGCGCCACCTGCTGGGCAGCTCCGAAACCGCCCTCAGGAAGACCCACCTCAGGGCCTCGGGGGCCCTGTCTCAAGAACCAGCACAGAGAGGAGGGGCCCTCGGTCTTCATGGGAAAGTGAGGGCCCGGCAGCACCCCACCTCCCAGGGAACGCTGCTGGGCTCACTGCCTTGAGGAAGAGCAGGGACCTGACCCAGATAATCCCGCCAAGGCAGGGCGCTCAGGAGCCTCCCCCAGAGCAGAGAACCCCCAACAGGTGAGGCAGGAACAGCCCCCAGAGACGGCAGGTGAGGAGCAAGCGCCCGTGGCAGCAGCTTCCGGGGACCCCTCACTTAACGTCGCTTTATGTTTTCAACAAAAAGGGGGGTTTTCAAAATGTGGGGCTCACTGTAAACTGTTGCTGTGCCTTCACAGGACTTCACAGACCAGCAACACTTCATGCCTGTGTCCCGCGTCGTGGCCGACGGTGCAGGCGGTCGTGGGGGCTTCGGGAGCGAGGGGACACGTGGATCTCCACAGTTCAGATGTCGCCTGATCCAAGACGTGTGGAAAGGACATTTCTTAAGCATGACGGGAGGAACAGGAGCGAGCAGTGACCAGATCAGCCACCAGGGAGGGCGTGGCCCTCACCAGGGAGGGCAGCCACGGGGGTGGAGGCGACCCTGGCAGGTGACCACGGGTGGGAGGCTCGGGGCAGTGTCACCTCCGGTTCTTCCAAGGATCTGGGTTCTCAGGAAGCAGCATGAGGAGAAAGGACCCTCCCCACCCCCCATGGCTCCCAGAGCTGGGGCAGGAAGCAGAGCCAGCAGACCCCCCAGGCCGGCACTGCGGCTGTGGGCTGCGCAAGGCCAGGCGCGTGGAGGACAGACCCCAGGTGCAGGGACTTTGCTGGGGGCAGGCAGGTTTGGTCAGCAGGAGGGGGCACTGCAGCCTGGAACCTCGCTCCTGCCCACCCGCCCACCTCCATGCGGGGAAGCGGGGAGGTCTGTCACCTGATCTACGCTCCACCTGCCTGGTCTCAGCCCTGGGTCCTGCCCTCATCACCAGCTCAGGATAGGATACAGGTTCAGAACTTGGTCAGCACCCAAAGCTGCCTTCCCATCTCAGATCCGAGTCCCTCCTCCAAGTCTATGGCCACAGGCTGGTCAATGCTGCCCTGGTGCCCAGCTCGTCTGTGCCAATGCCGGTCTGGCCAGCGTGGGGCTGAGGATCCCTGAGGGGCACAGCCAGGCTGAGGGCAGATCTTCTTGATTGGATCCAACTGAGACCACAGACGGCTCGCTGCCTCTCAGCACAGTCACCAGGCACATGGGGGGGGGTGGGGGCGGACAGAGCGGAGTCACCGTGTCCGGGCCGCGGCCCGCCGCCCAGCGCCTCCTTGGGCTCCCCTTCCGTGGCACTGGCTGAGCACGCCCGCTTCCCTCCAGCCGGGACTGAGCCCATCTTACCACGCGGAAACACGCTGTGACTGAGGCCTCAGAGGACCAGGCAGACTGGCCATGGGTGGCACCTTCAGTGATTCGGCCGCAGCCAGGGACAGACATGGTGGAAGGGCCCACAGGAACTGCTCCCGCCTCCCAGGGCCGTGAGGCTCCGCCTGTCCCAACACCCCCAGGTGCCTGCCATGCGGGGACACAGGTGTGGAGAGGTGCACCTGCTCCCAAACCCAGACCCCCACTTCTACCCGACCCTCGAGGGTTGCGGGCTGCCACTCGAAGCAAAGGCCAGGTTTTAGACCAAGTGCCTTATGCGGGGAACATGGACTAACGCAGAGGGAGCTGCCGGGTGTTTCAGATCCTTAGGTTGTAACTCCATCCCTGTTCAGTTTGTCTCCTGCCCTTGGCCTCCCCTCACCTTCTTCCTTCCGGAGAACCAGAGGCCCTGCCCTCACGCTCCACGTCCAGGAGGGAGGGTGGGGAGACCTTCCGATGACATCTTTGGGAAGCGGGTGGGGTGTTTGGAGGGTGCTGGCCCGTCGGTTCCATCTTTGCCAGAGTCCCCAGAATTAGAATCCATGCCGCCGGTGAGCCACAGTGGAGGGACCTAGGCCTCGAACCTGCAGCCTGCTGTCCCACAAGTAGTGGCTCACCACCCTCACTCCTGGGGTAGACGGGGTTCCCTCCCAGGAAGGGCATGGGGTCTCAGGCAAGGAGCCCCGGGCCCATCAGCTCCAGGCACAGAGGGAGATGCGCTCCGGGGGGTGGGCGGAGGAGGTCACGTGCTCCAACACCTTGCTGTGTCCTCTTCACAGGATAAGCCCCCTTTTCCAGACAAGAAAGGTGGACGCAGTGAGAGTGCCCACCCGAGTCCCGTGCTGACACCAACGCAGGACCAGGCTGGGGACAGCAGTCGCCATGCTGTCTGTCCACATGGGGAAGAGACCCTGGTGCGTGTGAGCGCGGTGCAGGCGTCCACGTGTGTGCATGTGAGACAGAAGACACCTGGTTTCTTGAATGTTTCCTTTTTTTAAAAATACATTTGTATTAATTTCAGAGAGGAAGGGAGATAGAAACATCAGTGAGAGAGAATCATTGATAAGCTGCCTCCTACACGCACCCCGGTAGGGGATCAAACCCACAACCCAGGCATGTGCCCTGACCGGGAATGGAACCATGACCTGGTTCGACGCTCAACCACTGAGCCACGCTGGCACACCGACCGGGCTTGAATGCTTCCTGTAACAATGTTTCCTGGAGAGCTTTGTTTTTAAAACACTTGTACTTACAAAACAGGTTATGAATTACGCCCAATTTGTGCAACATGGCAAACGATGCAGATCCACCGAGCAGGCGGCACACGGGTGCGGCAGACCCTGGGCGGGCACGGGCACCGGGCTCCTCCAGTGAGTGCTATGATCAGTGAGTGTGCACATTTCCTTTGAAAACTGTGTGTAATGCTTTAAAAAATATAAAAAAAGAATACATCTCATTTCCAACAGAAACCGTACTGTGATGCTGTTGTGGGTCCGCAGGCGCAGGCAGGCCCTGCCAGGGCTGAGACCAGGCCACCTTTCCCTCAGGCACCTGTTTCAGGGCCACGGTGGCACTGAGGGGACACCCAGGGAAAGACCACCAGCGTCCTCCGGGGACGTGGCCATGCTCTGTCCACAGGGGAAGAGGCGGGCTGGGACCAGTCTGAGTGGCCAGATAAAATACAGGCTGCAGACACCAGCAGAAACTTCAGATACTTTATTGACACATCTTTCACATTACAATACAGTCAGAACACAGTCCAGCACGGAGGCACACAATGATACACAGCAGCACATTTCCAACCCTGTCACTCCCACTCTCCACATCTATCCTGAGAGGCTGTCCCAGGGACGGGCGCGTGGGAAGTGGGGTAAAGCGAGTGCAGTGCACTCGGTAGGACAGACACACGAAGTAGGTGAACCCAGAGGAAGGAAGCAGTCGGCCGGCTCCGAGCACGCACGGCGCCCACAGCTTCACACGGGACAGCGGAGCTGCCCACACCCGCCGCCGTGGCACACTAGGTTGGGAAGGTCCCGGGCAGCCTGAGCCGGCACCGCCCAGCAGAACAATAGGCACGGCTACTACTAACACTGAACTCATGCAAAAGCGGTCCTGCAAAGTAGAGGGCAAAACAGAGGGTTAATGACACGCCAACGGCTGTGCAGGACGCACACCTCCTGGTCACACTGCAAAGTAACAGAACCCAATGTTATTCTCTCCAGCCAGAGACCTGGGGGAACAAGTCAGGAGCGAACCTGTCAAAGCAAAGCTGCGCGGTCATCCCGGTGTCAACAGTGCTAACTGCGCGGAGGAGCAGTCCCCCTCGCAAAGGAGGGCGGGAGGCGGAGGGAGGGCTCATCCGGAGAGCAGTGTGGTGGGGGCAGAGGGGTTCGGGGGAGAGTCCCGAGCAGGAAGGCCCAGGAGGCCCGACCTGGCCCAGCCACCCGAGCAGCAGGAGCAAGGAGAGAGCCAGTTCAGAAATGAGAAAACAGCGGTTGGGGGCTTGGTTGTTGTTGATCCTGAAAATTAAACAGTGGAATTAAAGTCTTAGTTAAAACCCTCACAGAGGAAAGACAGTTCTGGATCCCTTGCCTGTGAAAAGCAAAGCTGAATTATAAAGCCGAAGGACCATCTGCTCTTCAGACGGCAGTGTGAGTGCGCACGCACACAGAAGCCCTGCGGGGTGTGTCCGGCCTCCTGCAGGACACAAAGCGATGCGGACAGTCCTGAAGCAGCAGCGCCCATGGTGCTCGCCTCGGACTGGAAGCAGCGGGAGGGAGCCCTGCTGAAACAGGCGAGGCAGCTGCCCAGAGGGTATTCAACAACTAAACACCGAGTATGTGCAAATAATACACCTGTCCACTCTGCAGAACCCACTACAATTTAAAAACCACATAACATTTCTTCATAAAGGGCCTGTACTTTTCTGCATACCTTTTAAAATTAGTAAAATAAAGCAAGGCAAAACACCCAACATGGGGGCCTTTCACATCTCAGTGTTAGAAGTAAAAGCGCCTCACTAAAAGCGCTGCTCTAGCTGCCCACCCGACTTAAAGGACTTCCTACCAAAACACAGCCCAGAAAAGAGTTAAGGTTGTAAATATTCTCTGGAAAAGGAGGTCACTCTGTGTAAAACCAACAACCCTTCCCAACCATCCATCAGCGGAAGGTACACCTGGGATCCAATATGAATCAGCGGGTTTTGCTTTGTTTCTAGTGCACAAAACCATGGCACTTTCAGTGATAAAAATTAAATACTAGTAGGTTGCAAAAGAACCTTACACAAAAATCCTTAGGATTTAATAGTAAGTCAAGGCCACACGCCTTTGGAGAGTTCTTATGTAAGAGTGTTCAAATGACACTTCATTCACAAATTTTAAAAATAGTTGAAAAGATCAACTGAAATGTTCATTAAATAAATAAAAAAAATCTAAACTCCTAATTGATCTGACTCTGTGGCCTCCTTCCTGGGGTGGGGGTGGGGGTCTCCTGTCCCATCTCCTCCCCCCAGCCCTCCCTGTTAGTGGATCCCCCTTTAGAACACATCACAAAAATGTGTGAACCACCAACAACACCGTAAGTATTTTCTCCAAATCAACAATCACACAAGGGGGAGGGCCTCTACCTGACCAGAGGGGAGTAAGAGCAGGTCTCACAGGACACGGCAGCCAGGGGGGGGGGGGGGGGCCAAAAAGCAGGGAGGGAGGGCCCTGGCAGCGCAGGAGCCCACCGCCATCCCAGCCATCTGCAAGGACGGCCGGCTGCATGGGGCGTTTCGGACAGCCGAGTGCTGCCTCTCAGGGCTCCACGCACACAGACCTCACTCCAAACCTAACTGTCCTCAACAGGGTCCCGTCAGTCCAATGGTCTACGAGCCGTCAAGCTTACCTTCGATTGAACAGAAATAAAACACAAAATAAACACAACAAAACAAAACAATGAAAGCCAAAACAGAAGACTTGATTAACTGCTCAAAATCAGCTCGATGAGCAGGTCTTACTCATCTACCCACAAGAGCCACCTGCCGTCCCGTGGGCAAAGCAGAAGGATCACCTAGTTCAAGATGGCTCTCCACCCGCCTCCCACCACCCGCGGGAGCGGCCAGCAGACACCTACCACACCATGCGCCCACCGCCCGCATGCTCCTAGACTGCACCGCCTGCTCCCGAGTGCATGTGTCAGGAGACAGGCCATGGTGACGTCTCATTACAGCAGCTTCCTTCTACAAAACCGTCCTCTCCCACAGCTCCCCTTCCTCCTGCCCCTTCCCCCCACACCTCCCTGGCTCCTCCCAGCAACAAAGTCCTCTGTTGGTAGAATTAAGCAAAATGCTGTATGAAAAAAAGACCCCAGGGTGCGGGATCTACACTGTCACAGTTCAGAGATGCTACAGAACCAAGCATGAACAATTGTTTCTCAGGACCTTTACCATCATGATGAGGGCGACCCAAATTAAAGTGCATATGATGAAGCCTGCTCCTCCCCCTCCCACCCCACCTCCCTGGGGCTGCGGCCACAGGCACCCACTTAGGATGCTGCCTGTCCAGACACGGGACCCTCAACATTTCTTTTGGGAAGAAAAGACAAGATTTTTCCTTTAGAAGAATATCAGTATAAGGATTTAACAAATGTGGCCAGACCAACAGTAATGCAAGCTTATGCTCAGATAGGTAGTTAGGTGAACTTGTTACAGCACAAAACCAAAACAAGGTAATGCGAAAGGAAAGTAATGGCTCCACATCATCACCTACTGTATCTACCTTATGAGATATACTGATATTTACTGGCTTTAAGCTTCTTGAATTTGTGAACAAATAATACACAGGTCAGGATCAATGTATTGACTTACTCCCATCTTTATAAAAATCGGATATACACATGAACACGTCAACAATTATGGAACTGCATCCATTAAACTTTGATGAGACAACACAAAAGAACTAGCAAAGAGCTAAGGTGTTGCTGAATTGAAACATCTCCAATAACACTTCAGTTTAAAAGGTCCGTATTTACAGTGTGTTGGATGCATCTGCGTCTCATTTAAATGCATGATAAAGAAAGAACAGAGATAATGGTTGCAACAGATCTTCCAAGAGGGCTCAGCTCGGTGCCCTGCGAGAAGTGCACCACCAATGGGAAGAAATCACTCCCTAATGCTGCTGCTTTCCTTTCCTGCCGTTTCCTCCAAGGAAACTCAGCTTTGTCCCGAGGCCCGGCTGCACTGCAGAGTCCCCACCCAGTGGCCCCGTGTGGAGCGTGCCCACCTGGGCTCTGGAAAAGGCCCACGCCCCCCTAGAGGACAGGGCACGGAGAAAAAGCATGCCCGGGTGTGCAGACAGCACAGACACATCCAGGCACCCACATCATCGCATGCCCTGAAGCAGCCGTGGGTCTGTCTGCAGCAGCTGTGGTGCCGGCAGGTGGGCTCGCCATCACTGATTGGAAAGGACGCTACACACCCACGCTCCAGAGACCGCATGCAGGGCTGTGGCCTCCAAGCCACCGCACACTCCGACTATTTCAGAAAGCGGCAAAAGTCTGTTCAACTCATCTTGTTGTGGCAGGAAGTCCTCGGTGACAGTCCACCAACTGTGAGCCTTCCTGCTGACAACAGAGTAGGGAGTGGTCTGTAACTAGAGCTTCCGGCTACCTTGTCACTTTAATGCACTGCGCTACGGTTTCTATGTGAGCTCACCTGCAGCTGTGTGAGAGTGGGCAGCGAGCCCGCGTCAGGCAGCTGCTGGGCATGGGCACTGAGTCAGTCAGGGGCTCTCTGGAGCAGGGTGCCAGGTGCCCAGTGGGCGGTGCTCCCAGACCCTAGGCGTGCCTGCGCTTTCCTGAGCTGACCTCTCCGGGGAGCGCCCTCAGCAGCACCCTCGTTTCCTAGGCTCACTCAGCACACCATGCCATCGAGAATCAACACTACACAAGGTCCACAGGGTCTGGATACTCCCCTCCACTTCTGCTCACTTACTTTGAAAAAGTAAAATAAAACCTCAACTGTACAAACACGATGGTACAAGCCCCCACAACCTGGGTCAGCTCCCACGAGGAGGCCGAGTCTCGAGGAGCATCTCTGCACAGGCCTCCGGGCTCCCAATCTGGTCCCCGCTGGGCTAACCAGACAGTACGTGGCAACATGCTTCTATTTCTATTACTTCTATGGGTAACTCTGACGTGACGTCTTAGGTATAAAACACAGCTAAAAAGTCTAAGTGTGCCCCAGTGCCATTCGCTCAGTCAGGTCCACGTTAGAGTAACTGCTAGTGAACTCCTGCGTGAGCAGAAATGCAGTAAGGCACTTCTCCATGCTCACCCAGAATCAATTCTCCTAAGGTTGGTCTGTGGGGGCACGGCCCCACCTTAAGGAGCCCACACACCCTCACTCATGGGTGACACATACACTTTGCTCTGGGTCTCACGGTCCCTGTGAGACAGCCTCCCTCACACCACACCGTGGAGAGTGGTGTGCTGGGGTCTATGTCGCCTTGCCCTCGGGTCTACTGAAGGGCAACGCAGCGCCACTCTAAGGCCTTATAAAAAAAAGATCAATCAAAGCAATGAGAGCCAGCTTCCCGAAGAACGCTGCATGCCACAGAGTCAGTGACATCTGCCGCTTTGGGCTGCATTTAAAGAGAAAAAAACCAACCAAGTCTATTCAAGCTTCAAGCTGTCCCTCCGCCCGGCAGGCCCACTGTGCACCCCACCAGACAGGGAGCTCCAGTGAGGGCCCCGGCCAGAGCAGCACCCTGGCTTCTCTGCCCCCAGGGAAGCGCAGTGGCGACCACCTGGTCCTCGCCCTATTTCAGAACTTAAAAACGGGTGGGGAGTCCCCTCAGGAACTTGGAATATGCAACTGGTGCATAGGAAGCAGAATCTGCCGCACCATACCCCTGCCCCTGCCCCACCCGCCCTCACACCCTGCTTTCTGGGATAGGCAGCTGTCAATCACAATCACCCACATTTTCGCCTGTTTTTACAAGAACCAGTAGAGGGCTTTCTGAGAAGACACCTCTGGTCTAGCCTGCACTGAAGATAAGTGCAACCATTATCAAATATTCTTTGCTGTGGAAAGTACTCAGAATTTGTGCTGCTAATGTTCCTCCCTGAACCTAAGTCACGGTGAGCGATCGATCAGACGGTAAAATTACGAAGAACAGTGTCTACATGCATTGTAAGCACTTTGAAAACAAAAGAAAACAAAAACTGGAGTTCTCGGAAGTGGCCACAGAATTTGAAGCCATCAACACCGAACTCCAGCCTGCCATGTCCTGCAAGTTCAGCTCTCCTGGAACCAACGCTGGGCAGCCCGGCGCTCTGGACAAGAGTTAGCAGACTGGACGGAGACCTCGCTGGCAGGTCCTGTGCCGGCAGCTTCCTTGAAGCAAGTCCACAGCTGTGTGTGCAGTGTAAGGTCGGCCTCCCTGCTAGAAATCACTCCACAATCAGGGCCACGTTTATGTGGGACAAATCTATCATGTGCCTGTGGAGATGGAAACAAACAGCCAAGGTTAAGTGAACTCTGAACACAGCAGGCGACTTATAGAAGCAGGAGGAAGCTAGAGGGGAATGTGGGCCCTGAGTGACAGAGAGCATTGGCATGAACACCAGGGACAAGCGTCCACATGGGAGGAGGCACTGTCCCCTGTGCATGAATATGCATCTATACAGTGACAGGTGCACACACAGCAGCATGCGAAGCAACAGCTCCAGTGACCGAGAGCGCATTGCACAGGAGAGGTCCCCGCCCGCACCCACGTCACCAAAACCATGGCATCCACCGCTACCTGTGGAACTTCTGCTGAAATGCTAACGCATGGGCTGGCTCCTTAAACTTGGCTATGGCTTTCCGTTGCTGGGGAAGCATCTGTAAACTCTGGAGGAAGGAAACAAAGAAACATTTTAACATCATGCTTTCTATGGTTAAAAAAATATATACATGCAAACATTACATTTAATACAAAATTGAAGTTCAGGCTGATACTTGGATCACTAAAACAAACTAATTCTATTTCGTGGGAATTTTTCTTACCCATCTAGATAATATATCCAAAAACTCTGTTTCAGGAAGTCATTCCCCTGACCAGCACTTATAACCTCCAAGCCTGGCATTAAGACCTTGCATCATCTGACCACATCACTGCCCAATCTTCCCTCTAAACTTTCTCTGAGGCTTGGTGGCAAGTACCCTTGGAGAGTCACCTTCTGTTCTCAGGCATTCCCGTCAGGTGACTGTCCATGGAATCTAGATTTTGAAAATACTATGCTCCTCTTCTAGAAAAAAAATATTTCTAGATTTCCGGGGTTACTATCCTGTGTGTGAGTCACCAATGTGAAATGAAGGCATGAGCTTCGTTTCTACCATTTACCATGTAAGAGGATTCGTGTACATGTATCTAAGTGGTTTAAATCTCAGTTTGATGGAGGACTATGAGTCAAGACAGCATAAACTGCAAAGAATTTCTTCAACCACGAGAATGATGGGCTCTCCAGTGGTCAACACCCATCACGAGAACACTGCTACAGTCGCCTGCTGGCTGCTCCCCTTTATTTACACTGTGGTGCCCTTCCAATAAGACAAACCCTTATTTTCTAGACATGAGAATGAATTGTAGAAATTGTCATATTCAACCTACCGATAATATTAGTGATTTCTTTGGAAGGAGAGGAAAAACACGTTTCACTGAAAGGTGAAAGGCTTGTGATCACCGGTTTCCACGTTTTTATATAAACACAAATCACCCAGAACAGACCAAACCTTAAAATCTGTCTCGAGTCTCTACTGTTCACTCTGACTCCCCAACCCGCCCCCAAACAGCTTCCTGACATGCCACGCGGCTGCACTCACCAACCTTCCCCGAGGTACTGTCCATTCTTTCCAGACAAGACGTCTTCCGACAGTTTCTGAGAATATGTAATTGCTCTGCTATTAATCACAAAACACGAGCTGAAGCGTTCCTCGAGTTGGCCCTTCCTGTGTTCACACTCAAGTCCCATCAGAGCCACGTGACTGCACTGCGTGGGACATGCCCCTAACTGCAGTGTGCACGCTGTTCAGAAGCCTGGCCTCCTCCCGCGAGGACCGTCCTCTTTCTGGGAGGAGCCTCTATGTGTCTGTGCTGGACAGAGAATGAAATGTTGGGAAACGAAGCCGACTCTCTGCCCTGGCAGACCCATTCCATGCTTTCCCTCTGGCCAAGGATTCCTCACCTTCAGGGATGACCTAAAGCCAAAACGATACTAACTCTTTTAAACACAAGGGGAACTGCTTCAGAGCAGCCCCGTTTGGGCGATGGTGTGCGGCCCTCCCCCCACTTGACGGACCTGCAGCCCCCGGGGGCAGTCAGCCTCGCCCCAGGACATCTTTGCTCCTCCAGGCGGTGCTTCTCGTAGAGAAATGAGTAGGACCTTATTCTGGAAGTCTCCCCGTGCACGGCTCACTGGCACTCTTGCTGGTAAGGGGCAGGCAGAAGCAGCTACACCGTCCGGAGGGGTCCGAGCAGAAACACGGGAAGTTCGCTGCAGGGCCTCGGGCAGCCCCACCCTATGCCCACTGTCACAGAATCGACGGCACTATCCCACCTGCCAGGTCTCTGACACAGATGCTGCGCAGCTCCTGAGTTCCAACGGGTCTCCTGAGCATCTTCAGGCCCATCCACGTCCACCACAGGGTGTTCCCTGTTCCCTGTCCCCCTCAGACTGATCCTTCAGACACAAGGGCTCCTCAGAGCTCTGCTTCCCACTGCCTCCTGAGAACCGCATGGCTTCCTGGCTTACTTACAACGCTTCTGAGACTCTCCATGGGGGCCTCCAGCTAACCTGTTGCCAGGAGAACTGCAGGTCCTGTGGCCACGCCCGGACCTTCTTTAAACCTGGTGGCAAGGGGTTTCCGGCAGCCAACGTCTGACCATCCTGCTGTCTGCTTTCCCAAATGTTCTGAATGCAAAATGACTCACTCTTTCACTGGAGATGCCAACATCTTCACGTCACCCACCAGCCCCCTTCCTGGCCAGTCAGACCCAGATGCAGTGGAGGTGTTCTAGCCGACCCATGTCCCCTCAGGGGTCAGATTCTCTGCGTTGACCCTGCCTTCCTGGCTGCTTGGGGGACTCCCATCTGGGTGGTGGAGATGCTGTCTGAGGCTGGCTAGCTGGTGTCCTGAAGCAACTGCAGGAGGACAGCCCTCGGACAGGACCTGCTGATGCAGGGGCACTAGTGGGAGGGGTACTTCTGCTTTGTCCTCCCTGCTTTCACACGCTTTGCCCCAGTGACACGGGCCTTTGTTTCTTTAGTTTCCCTCCCTGCCAGGTTATGCCAGGGAACAATGAGGCGCAGGTGTTGTTACCAGTCTTTTGTGACTTATGAGAGCCTGATGGAAACACCAAGATTCACGGAGGTGGAGTGCTCAGTCCAAAAGGCGCACACAAAGAAATGGCAAAACTGGGACTTCCACTGAAGCCTCATCTCAAAGCCCAAATCCAGCTACCAGCTGCATCCTACCTCCCGGCTGCTCGGGAAAACTACAGCCACCAGCAGAGACACGGTAACGGGCACAGGCCAGGCACAGGCAGGCCACATCTAAGCCCTGGCCATTATTACAGTACCAGGGTTGCAGGAAACCTTAAGTGATCACCAACTCCACTCTTCTGAGGAAATGGCTTTTTTTATACCATGGTGTTTCATCTACACTAATAAAAGGGAAACATGCAAACTGACCGTCCCTCCACTATGCCCACCAGCCAGTCAGGGTGAGTATGCAAAATAACCCAACAAAGATGGTGGTGGCCACGGAGCTGGAGCAGGAGGCTTTGGTTGCCCGCGGTGACGGAGGAAGCCAAGCTTTCTCGCCCACCCTGGCCTCCGCTCAAGGAGGGGCTGGGGGCCTGGGTCACCGAAGGTGGGGAGAGGGGGTGTGGCCAGCGTGAAAACGGCCCTCAGCCCCTCACCCAGGCTGGCCACACCCCCATGGGGTGAGGGTCCCCACTGGGGGGCTTGGCCAGCCTGCAAACAGCCATCAGCTCCTCATCCAGGCTGACCAGGCACCCCAGTGGGGACCACCATCCTGAAGGGGCTGTGGCTAGCCTGAAAACAGCCCTCAGCCCCTTACCCAGGCTGGCCACCCCCCCATAGAGTAAGAGTCCCCGCTGGGGGGCGTGGCCAGCCTGCAAACAGCCATCATTGCCTCACCTAGGCTGGCCATGTCCCCATGGGGTGAGGGTCCCCGCTGGGGGGCATGGCCAGCCTGCAAACAGCCATCAGCCCCTCACCCAGGTTGGCCAGACACCCCAGCAGGAACCCCCACCCTGAAGGGGGTGTGGCCAGCTTGAAAACAGCCCTCAGCCCCTCACCTAGGCAGGCCACGCCCACCCAGTGGGACCCTCATCCCATGGGGGTGTGGCTGGCCTGCAAACCACCACAGGCCCCTTGCCCAGGCTGTCCCACGCCCCAAGGGAACCCCCCACCCTGATCTGGGACACTCTTCAGGGCAAACCAGCCAGCCCCCACCTGTGCACCAGGCCTTTATACCAATAAAAGGGTAATATGCTAATTAGACTGGGAGACCTTCCAGGAGACCTTCCGGACATTCTTCTGGACAAAGCCATGGTGGCAGGGCCGAGGTAGAGGCGTTTAGAGGCCAAGAGGAGACAGGGTGAGTATGCAAAATAACCCAACAAAGATGGTGGTGGCCACGGAGCTGGAGCAGGAGGCTTTGGTTGCCCGCGGTGACGGAGGAAGCCAAGCTTTCTCGCCCACCCTGGCCTCCGCTCAAGGAGGGGCTGGGGGCCTGGGTCACCGAAGGTGGGGAGAGGGGGTGTGGCCAGCGTGAAAACGGCCCTCAGCCCCTCACCCAGGCTGGCCACACCCCCATGGGGTGAGGGTCCCCACTGGGGGGCTTGGCCAGCCTGCAAACAGCCATCAGCTCCTCATCCAGGCTGACCAGGCACCCCAGTGGGGACCCCCATCCTGAAGGGGCTGTGGCTAGCCTGAAAACAGCCCTCAGCCCCTTACCCAGGCTGGCCACACCCCCATAGAGTAAGAGTCCCCGCTGGGGGGCGTGGCCAGCCTGCAAACAGCCATCATTGCCTCACCTAGGCTGGCCATGTCCCCATGGGGTGAGGGTCCCCGCTGGGGGGCATGGCCAGCCTGCAAACAGCCATCAGCCCCTCACCCAGGTTGGCCAGACACCCCAGCAGGAACCCCCACCCTGAAGGGGGTGTGGCCAGCTTGAAAACAGCCCTCAGCCCCTCACCTAGGCAGGCCACGCCCACCCAGTGGGACCCTCATCCCATGGGGGTGTGGCTGGCCTGCAAACCACCACAGGCCCCTTGCCCAGGCTGTCCCACGCCCCAAGGGAACCCCCCACCCTGATCTGGGACACTCTTCAGGGCAAACCAGCCAGCCCCCACCTGTGCACCAGGCCTTTATACCAATAAAAGGGTAATATGCTAATTAGACTGGGAGACCTTCCAGGAGACCTTCCGGACATTCTTCTGGACAAAGCCATGGTGGCAGGGCCGAGGTAGAGGCGTTTAGAGGCCAAGAGGAGAGGGCAGTTGGGGGTGAGCAGGCCATCAGTGGGGGTCAGTTGGGGGTGAGCAGGCCAGCAAGGGGGCAGTTGGGGGTGAGCAGGACAGCGGGGAGGGCAGTTGGGGGCAAGCAGGCTGGTAGGGGGGCAGTTGGGGGTGATCAGGCTGGTGGGGAGGGGCAGTTGGGGGCAAGCAGGCCAGCAGGCAGAGTAGTTAGGGGCAATCAGGCAGGCAGGCAGG